GGAGGGATAGGGAGTGTCCCATGCAAACACAACTAAAATATTATGGGGATTCAAACCTAAGACTTCTGGTAATTCAAATCTAAGACTTCTGGTATGTAAGTCAAAGTCTTTTTTTGTTGGTCCCTGTTGGCTAACTTTTAAACAAAAAGAAATATTTCTTTTTAACAAATGCAACAATTGATTACATATAAATTACTATTTTTCTGACTCAAATTAAAACCTTTTTATGTGCGAAAAATATCTTCTCATATTGTAAAATGTGGAACATAATTGAACTGATATCCAAGATAATAAAACCCAACATTGAAGATTAAAATTTTAGATGGATGCATATATGAGTTCAGTCAAATTGATTAGAGCGGATGTGCTTCACACTCTGCACCTGAGTTCGATTTTCCCTCTCAGTAGTTTAGATTAGATTAGAATAGAGTATCGCTTGTTCTTGTATTAAAAAAATAAAATAAAATGGACAAAAACCTTTATAATTATTACAAGATCCCTGCTCTTATGGTAATAGACATGGGCTAAATTTGTGCTTATTGTAATAAACAAACAAACAAATTTAAAAAAATAATATTCTATTTGAAAGCGAATTTTTAATTTGGTGACAAAGGGGTGCAAATGTCATTTCCAATATTGAGAACGTAACAGTCAGGATGGCTTACAAGTTACATGTACACGTAGAGACAATTGGGAGGCTCTGACGAGCAGACAAAGGTAGTAGTTTCCTTTGAGCCAAAGGAATTCAAAGTTTGAAACTTCGAAGCCAAATTGAGGTGAAACGACACCGCCGTGTCTTCTGGTTTTTCGGCGCTCTTATTCTTACAGAGTGTTTGGGTACCTACCCAAGTTAATTTTTCACTTAAAAGACCTTTCTTTATTGGTTTTGTTGGATTATTGATATCTTTTTTCCTCTGTCATTGCATTTTTTCTTCCTTAGCTTCTTGAAGTTGCAGTCTTGAGAATATGGGACTTTTCAGCACTCTCTTGGGGATTTTTGGTTTTGGCATTGGAAGTCTTCTTGGACTCTTGGTGGGTTTCTTCCTTTTCATCTATTCAGAGCCTGAGGAAGTGAAGGTAACCTCTTATATATGTTTATCATTCTTGTTTCATCTTTCTTTGTAAGGATTCTTTGAAGCATTTCGTTACTGGGTTTTCAAGGCTTTAATTGGGTATTTTAGATTGAAAAATTTCTTCAACTTGCCAGTCTTGCATGGATAACAAACTATGAATCTCAAATTATAATTTTTGTGTTAGTTTTTAGCTTGTATCTTCTGTTATTTGAGAGGACTATTTAAGTTGGACTGTTGTATCAGATGCGTTTAGAATATTGGGTTGCTCATTTGTTTCAGAGAATCTCCCGTTTTACTGGAGATTCAAACCAGAGAAAGTGGTCTTTTTTTTCCACTGCAACAGTAAGCCGGGTGCATTTGCCATTGGCATGTCTATCTGCTTAAGCGTTGAATAGTGAAATCCGCTATCCAATTCATGGTTTTAATTCAACCACCATAGTCCTATATTTTGAAGCTTCACGAGGACACTTTTTTGTTTGTTTTGTTTCTGGGGAATATTTAAGTAGGATCACTTGAAGTTTTCATTTTTCATTTAACTTCACCTCCCCTGCTTTTTTCCCCTCTTGAATCCTTGATTGTAACTAAGAGGTTGGTTTCGAATCTATGAACATCAAAGAAACACTGCTAAAAAAGAGAGACTGTGAAGTGTGTTTAGTCTGTAAAATGTTCAACATACTTAATGTTGCAGGATCCAGTCGTCAGGCCACTGCATGAATTAGATTCAAGTACTTTGCAAGGTCTTCTACCTGAAATTCCAATGTGGGTAAAATTCAGCGACTATGATCGAGTTAGTATATCCTTTTAATCCTATTACATCAAGCTTTTGCTATTTCTTTCTCTCACTGCTGCTAAGCCTTCACATCTATGTTCTGACTATACGTATTGTTGTGCAGGTAGACTGGCTAAACAAGTTTCTCTTTGATATGTGGCCATACCTTGACAAGGTGATAATTTGGTTAACAGTTCTTTTATTATATCTTCTTGGCTAAACAAGTTTCTCTTTGATATGTGGCCATACCTTGACAAGGTGATAATTTGGTTAACAGTTCTTTTATTATATCTTTTGGTATTTGAGAATCAGTTTATTAATTTTCAGGCAATTTGTAGTACAATAAGAAGCATAGCACAACCTATCTTCAAAGAGTACATAGGGAAGTTTCACATTGAGGCAATTGAGTTTGACAAGTTAAGTCTTGGAACTATGCCGCCCATAATATATGGTTAGTCTACTCACTTAGATAATCTAAGCATAGCACAACCCTTCTAGATTTACTATCATATATTTTGGTTACCTTTTGAATCTTTCAGGTCTAAAAGTTTATGAGACTAATGAGAACGAATTAGTTATGGAACCGGCATTTAGATGGGCTGGTAATCCCAACATAGTTCTGGTGTTAAAGTTGTTGTCTCTGAGAATTACGATTCAGGTAAGAAATGAAGACACAATCCTTGAAAGGAAAAATCTGTTTATTTACATGCTGCTACATTTGATGCATTATTTTCAGAATACTGATTTGTACTTATTCTCAGTTAGTGGATTTGCAAGTATTTGCAGCGCCACGGGTAACTTTAAAGCCTCTCGTGCCGACTTTTCCATGTTTTGCAAGCATTGTGGTGTCTTTATTGGAGAAGGTCTCAAAAAAGCATAATTTTTCGCTCTTTCTTTTTGTACTTTTTAATTCAGATTGCACTGATAAAATGATTTTCTCCATCTATCTGCAGCCACAAGTAGATTTTGGAATCAAAATATTGGGAGGGGATGTCATGTCCATACCAGGCCTCTATCGGTTTGTTCAGGTGCTACACCAGTAATTCTGTTCTGGGTAGGATTTTGGTTTTTAGTTAACTGGGTTCGGATGGTTGTGTTAGACAATTTATGCTTGCTCAGAGGTTGGTTGGTATGAATTAACTAATCATCAACGTGTTTGTAGGAGAACATCAAAAAACAAGTCGCAAGCCTCTATCTCTGGCCTCAAACACTTGAAATACCTGTTCTTGATGCTTCAGTGTGAGTAATTATGAGATGATATAGCTATGCTTTGGAACATCTAGCCCCCTTCTTTCACCAAAAATTAATTAGTTATATATTTTATTCTCTTTATATCCATTTTAAGTCATGAATCAATCATGTTGAATGAGGCTTCACAGATGTGGAGCCATCAGAAAGATGAATGTTGCTATATTTGTTTATAGAAAATTTATTAGTGCTCTTCTTTCAAATATTTCTTTACAAAACTAATTTTCCCTTTAAATCTTCCAATAGAGTGGCCAAGAAGCCTGTAGGTATACTTCATGTCAAAGTTGTTCGAGCACTGAAACTTTTGAAGATGGACATTTTGGGAAGTTCTGATCCTTACGTCAAACTAAGCCTTACGGAAGAGAGGTTGCCAGCAAAGAAAACCACAGTCAAGATGAAGAACTTGAATCCTGAATGGAATGAGAAGTTCAAGCTTCTTGTGAAGGATCCTCAAACTCAAGCCCTCGAGTTACAACTTTATGACTGGGACAAGGTTTTCCCCTCACCTCTTATCTTTTGGTTCAAATACGACTTAATAAAATTGTGATTTTTAATCCATATTTTTGTTATTTCCTGCAATTTTACCACAGTTTATGTGAACCCTTGTTGCTTAGATTTATGCTTAATGTTAAGGAATTTGAAGTTTTTCAATGATGTAGCCCTTTGTCCCTTTAGAAAAAGGAATCAGAAGGAGGTCCTTGTTCTTACATTGGTATTGGTTCTAGAACCCTAATCTCAACTTTGTTTGAGAACAAATTCCGAGAACAATAATTCTCATTTTCACCAGGTTTCCATATGTTAGTTCTCACAAAATTGGTCATTACTAAGTTAGAAATGTTCCTATCTGATAAATATTCCAGAAAAAAAAATGAAAAAGTTATTTCACCATTAAAAGTAAGTACAACAAAAAAAAAAGTGAAGAGTAATTGCAGTATCTTTTCACTGTTGATCATTAGTATTTAGTGTCTCTATAAGTTATTCTTAGGAAGGTGTACAAGAAAGGTTCTGTTTGTTAGTTTTTGAATTTATTTTCAGGTTGATCTTCTTTTCTGTTTATAGGTTGGCAGACATGACAAATTGGGAATGCAGTTAGTTCCTTTAAAAGTGCTAACACCCGGTTTGACAAAGGAACTTGTGCTGGATTTGGTCAAGAACACAAATATCAATGATCCTCAAAACAAGAAGCATAGGGGACAAATTGTGGTGGAGCTTGCTTTCGTTCCTTTCAAATCAGAAAATGGTAATGAATATGGGAGAAGTGAAAGCGGAATTAGTAGGTCCTCAGACAGTTCCGAGTCCCTCGGTGGAGCAGGTTTACTATCTGTTCTGATCCAGGGAGCTGAGGATGTAGAAGGGGAGCATCACAACAATCCTTATGCTTTGCTTTGCTTCAGAGGTGAAGAAAAGAAAACTAAGGTGAACTTCCCTTTTGATAATTACCAGCTCCTTTTTATTATCAACAAGAGTTTCAGAGACGTGAACATAGGCATGCGTCACAAATTCACAAAACACAGTTTACCTGTTTTCTTAACTTATGGTACAAACTCCTTTTCTTGGCAGATGGTGAAAAAAACTCGTGATCCACTTTGGAATGAAGATTTCCAATTTATGCTTGATGAGCCTCCTTTACAAGACAAGATCTATATTGAGGTCATGAGCAAAAGCAGAGCCATTTTCCGAGCGAAGGTATGGTTATCATTGTTCCCCTCCTTATACATGCACTGATCTTCTCCACATGCTTTGCACTGCTCTGATTCTATACATACATCTCCTCATGCGTAGGAATCGTTGGGGTACGTAGAAATCAATCTCGCCGATGTTGTATACAATGGACGCATCAACCAAAAGTACCATTTGATTGACTCGCACAATGGAAGGATACACATAGAGCTAAGTTGGACAAAGGCTTGAGACATGAGATACTGAAAAACTATGAGTTGCAAGTAATCTCAAGTCTCAACTGACCTTTCCAATTGTTACAACTTACAACAGAGGATTATATGAGGAAATGGGAGGAAAAGAAGAGAGAGATTCTTGAATTCAATTGATTGTTTTGATATTTCAATATTTAGAGTAGAGTCATTCATAGAAAATGGGCTTCAACAATTTATTTATTTTTCCTTTTCATTCTAACAGTTTTCTATTAAATTTTTGGTGAATTAGTGCTTTACCAGATCAACAAACAGTTACCATGAGAGGTTAAATCTACCAAATGTTGTATAAGTTGGCAATTATGAAGCATGCTTAAAGCTAAAGAAATTGTTATGCAGCAAAGTGCAAAACAATCCCCTATTGCTTTGGCAAGGGCAACAGCTTTGGGTTAAACCTTAGCAAGATGAGGCCAGACCAAGCCCAAGTCACATTCAAAGCTGAGGATGAAGCTCAAATGGAGCAAACCTAGCCCAACCCAATGATGCCAAAACCCACTATACCCAGAAGGCATTATGATACATGATGCACATACACATACATGAATATGCTGATAAAAAGTAAAATTATGAAAAAAAGATAAAAAAAGATAAAAAAAAAGTTTGAAAAGGACTTTCACAATCCCAAATATGGACATCATCTTAAAACATATGGACCCCAGTGGAGGCATGGATTAGGTTTGACTTGCTGTTGATCAATACATGTGACATCATAATTAAGGTAAAAAGCTGCTTGGCTACTGGTTCCCTATAGTGGATATGCATGGTTTAAAGTCCATCTTATATTATCCTAATTAAAGAGTTAGAGGATTAGCATACATGTAATAATTAATGTTCCAAACTAAATCAACTGAGTGATGAAGAAAAAAAAAATTCTCCAGCTTTTGCATTAAATACATTTTAATTACATAATCTCTGCCTTCCCACTAAAAAAAAATTCTCCAGCTTTTGCATTGTATTTTATTCTACACTACAAATCATGTTTGTATGTTCTCTAAAAGAACAGAGAACCTAAAACCAATCTGCGTTGAAAAAATTTGATCCTTTAATAGATTTGATAAGTACAAATATGCGTCGATGTCTAAGAACCGTCGATCGCGTTGATTCAACATAATCAGTTATATAGTTTACTTAATTTTGATACAAATTAAGAGATAGAAAAAGATTAATTATTTAAGTAAAGCATGAATTTGAGTATTTTCTAAAATATGCAAGACATCCAATGCCCTTAATCTCACTTTCATTACCCAAGTGGGGAGCACCATAAGAATAGGGATTCCTCTTGCATATAAAAAGGGTCAGCTTTCTGGTTGACTTGCCCCAGAAAGTCTGGCAAATTTAGAGGTAGTAAAAGGGAATCCTATCCCCTCCCCACAAAGGGTTTTTATGAGGATTCTTTGTTATAATGGATCTCCACTCATTGCGAGGAACCCTTCATTACTCTCTCTCTCACTTGCTAGGGCTAGTTGTGTTGTGTGAGGCATGCATGTGTGCTCTCAAAAGGAGGGGTGAAATAAAAAGGGGGTCACTTTCTTGGTTCCTTGTTGATGTTCTTTTGTGGGGGAGAGGAATAACTTTAGCATTCTAAAAAGCCACAGCATTTTTCTTTCTTTCTTTCTTTTAAAAGGGTATTGTCTTGTGATATTATTATGTGAGGCCATGAGCCATGAGGGAGGAGAGTAGTGTATAAAGTGGGAATAGGGAACTCCCACTCACTTCACTACATGATGGTTAAGTCTTGATTTGGATTTAGTGTTTGGTGTCTTGTTGGATGCTTTGAGGCTCCTTTGAGGCAGAGTGCACTGTGAGCAGCACACTCTCAATTTCAGAAGCTGCTCATGAGATGTCATGTATCTCTTTAAGGTTCTTGTGATTGAGAGAGATTCTTGATGCCTCTTTCTCAGTAGACAATCACCAAATATTTTCAAAATAATGGAGATACAAATGCTCTCCCCACAAACTCATTTTCAAATTCAGACCAAAAAAAAAAAAAAAACTCATTTTCAAATTCCCAAAAATCCCACTACCCAACTAACTCTAGATATAGATATGGAAGAATGTATTTTTGCATAGAGAACAAAGCTGTGTAATGTGCCTATATATCCAAACCCTAATGGGAAGGGGAATATTTGACCCAATTTCAATTTTCAACCAAGCTCTCCCTACGCCCCCCCCCCCCAAACCCCCCCCCCCCCCCCCCCCCCCCCCCCCCCCTTCTCTCTCTTTATGAGTACACTTTCACTTTTAGCCAAAATTAACCTAGGAAATAATCAAGATATAGCATGTCAAGACAAATAACTCAGTCAACTCAATAGTCTTCCAAGAATATATTAGGCGCGCAGCATTTAACATCAAAATTGTAATTTTCAAGCACGATTCTTCTCGAAGAACCCATGCCTGCCATAGACTCTGCCATAGCCTACTAGTCTTGTAGAAATTATCAAAGCATAGTGGTTAGGGTTTAGGGTTTTGTTGAAAATTCCCAAGTGCCAGTTTTTGACCATTGAATCGATATGACAAATTCTGAGGGTGGTGATGTGCATGGGTTCATCGACCAAGGTTTTGTATGTTTTGAAAATACACACGAAACCATGTTAATATATGATTATAAATAAAACAGATATGAACACATATCATACTCATCACTAGGTTTACAAGGTTTGAAACTTTGAACACATCGTTTTAGGTGGAATTAAAAATAAAAACAATTTGTTTATTAAAGAAATATTGAGCCAATATGATGACCGTAGACATTGCCAAACCCACATTGTGCTGAAAAGTTTCTTCTATTTCTTTCTTCTTTCGGTTTCTAGTTATAATAAGGGAGATTGCATGATTAAAAATGAAGGGCAGGAAGAACAAGTATTGTGGTCCTCCTTCTAAGGCCCATTTGGTTGGGAAAAGAATCCATAGGAAAATAAAACTACTTTGGGAATATTACAAATTTCATTTTCGGAATATTTTCCCAAATTTGTGTTCGAAATTCTTCCTAAAATGTTTTTACCATCTCTAGGAGACTATTATGGTATTATGGTTACGTGGTACATTTTATACACGTGTTATAATATGGGTGGACGACAATGTTTATTTTTTCCCATATTAGGGAATAATATCAATAAATGTCCATTTATATTATAACACGTGTACAAAATGTACCACGTGATTGTACTATCGTAGTGTTCTATAATTACTCCATTTTAGGTAAAGTGTTGTTTTCTACAGTATGGGAAATCTAGATGGAATATATCAAAACATCAAGAACCCTAATTAGGCTCTTAAAAGTCAAAAGAGGGAAAAAGAAAATTAACAAGCAAAAGCAATGGGAAATAAATTCAGAGGAAAACAAAAGAGAAATCCAAGTCATGTGATGAGATCTAGTCGTAATGTCAACCCTGTTGACATGGCAACCACAAAAGGACTGCTGTGATGATGTGCACGTGTGGCAAACTTATCATGATCAGCTCATGTGGGGCAAATGGTGCCATTTTTCTTCTTCTATATATAAGAAGAAAATTCAAAGAAAATTTTTGCATGATTAAAAAAATGGCACCATTTGACTCCATGGCCAACAATGATTCATCATCATGATCCATAGCGCAGCATGGGGGCCAAAGCCAATTGTCATTCATGATAAAAAATAAAAAAAAATTTGAGCCATACATGTTGTAATGGGGTATTCTTTTTTGTCAAATAAATTATGATCAGGCGGGCCTGTAGAAGGAGATTATGGCATGATCCACTCAACATTTTGAACGCTATTTTATTAGCCAAAGTAAGAAAAAAAGAGGGATTTGACAACCAGCCACTAACACTAAACATTGCTGCTTATCTGCAGAACATTATTATTACTCCCTTTATACTTATACATATTATATTATATGAAGAAAGAAACGACTTCTGCGCATTTTACAGTATTTGATATATTGTTAATGTTTAGACGAATAAAATTATAGATAGCTTAATTTACCCTCGTCAAACTTGAACTCTTTAATTTCTTCTCATTTTAGGTAGAAACTATATTAATCAACCAAAGCTGCTGGAAAATGAATTGATCATGATTCATGAGTGAGTACAAAGAATCAAGCAGGACCGCTTGGTTTATTTGTCTATACATACATGGAAATAGATAACATTCCAAGAGAGTTGACTTTGTTAAACAAGGCAACAAGATAGTTGGATATCAAGATCAAGAGTTTGTATTTTTACCGGAGAATATGATGGCATTCATTGTTGCAGAATATTACTGTTTCGTGGAGGAAAAAAAACATTAAGAAAATGCGGCATTTGTAAGTGTGAAAAATTGTCATGGAATTTGGTGGACATTTTCAGGTTCGAAAGGTTATCATTTTATTCATGTTCTTTTTACAGCAAACATCATCTCGCCCAGAAAGATAAAAGATGATTTTATTTTATTTTTCCTTTTTTTTGATAAAATAAAAGATGAAAATTGGGTATCTATAAAGCTGCTGCTGACTAAAGATACATCATATGATTTTCCAAATTACCCCTTGTCAATGTCACGTTTATTAAAACTATGATTTATATTTTCTTTTTTATGCAAAAAATTCATGGAAACTAGAAGGCAAGTAGAAAATAATAATAAATTATTATTATTATTTTTTTAAAAAGAGAGAAAAGAAAAGTAGTGGTTCAATTAATGATAATTTGATGAAAAAGAAAGTGAGAGATAATAATACAAAGCAGCCAACTTTCGCCTATTCAACCAAAACGTGCTTTTGTATTTATGTCCTTTTGCTCCTTTTACCATTCTCTACAGCTAAGCTCCTACTTCAACCCAACAACAAAGGTCAACATCCTCAATAAACCCACACTCACAGCCTCTTAAGACCAAGCAAAGCCACTCTCTTTTGCTCTCTCATGGCGGCCAGGGACAGCAACAAGAAGACGACTGGTACAAGCCCCCCATATGACGCAGTTGCTCTGTTTTGACATTTAGCTTCTCATTCTTCTGCAAATATAGCCCAACCCCATTTTCCCTCTCTCCTTGATTAGCTAAAACCCCTCCCATTAAACCTCTCTCTCTCTCTCTCTCTCTCTCGAATTTCGTGTTCCATTTCAACTTTTCTTAAAGGCCATTATCTCTCTCTCATTCCAAGAACTCTCTCCCAGCTAGAGAAAAGAGCTAAAGCAGCTTAATTTAAGCACTTTGAGATCTGGGTTTTGTGAATTTTGCTTAAATTTTTAGTCTTTCTGTGCTCTCTTTTAAATTTCTTGAGCTGAGGCTCAAAGCATAGGTTTTGGGTTCTGGGTTTTAAGCTTGAAATCTTCAAGTGAAAAATGGGGAGCAAATGGAGGAAAGCAAAGTTAGCACTGGGACTGAATCTTTGTGTGTATCTTCCAAAAACACTAGAGGATTCATCTCCATCCTCTCTGGACTCAGCTGAGAGATTGTCTGACGCTGCTTTGCTTTCACCTGCCAATTGGGCCATGGGCTCGTCCAGGCCCAGCACGCCAACGCCATCCTCTCATGGTTTGAAGCTCTCTAGAAGTGGAAGCAAATCGTCTAAGGTTTGTCTTTACATCTCATTAGAAAGGATGAAATGGGTTATGTGGTTGTGTGTGTGTTTACAAAATTGATGGGTTCTTATCATTTTGAGTTGATTCTGTTTATGTGCTGAGAAAATGAAGTTTTGTGTCTGCTTTGTGGTTTTCCAGTTTTCCTCGGTATAGTATTTTAGAAGGCAGAACTTTCAGCTCAGCTTAGCTCAATGCTTAATAATATTGGTCATGTATATCATATAAAATAGTTAGTTTATGCTGCTTTATTTGGTTTCGTCTGTTATGTCTTGTGGATGTTAATTTTCTTTTCATATTTTGAGAGGTTACGAGATAATTTATTTGAACAATATTCGTTTCAAAATTAAATTTCCTTGCTTTCCCCAAGCAACCAATCAGGGGTATTAGGATCCTTGGAGCATTCATTTCTGATTTTTCAATGACATGGAAATAGCTTAGAAATTGCTTCCATTTCTTTTGTGCTGTGACTTTAAAATCTGATTTCGAATTTGGTTCCAATAATTATGATTGATATATTACTTCATCTACAAATTGGATGAAACTACATGATCTTTCACTAATAACGTTATTCTTTGTTCATGGTTTATGCTTCTTAGCCTGCATATTTTCAGGAAAAGTATTTTGAGAATTTACACACTAGTTCTTTTCCTTTTTTCCCTTAATACACATGAGGTCTTTGATGATACCATATTTTAGCAGATTTTGAGGAGCACAAAAAATTATGGATGGAAATCTAATGTTATGTTGTTTTGCTCTCTTTGAGCATGTGGGGTTAATGCACAAGTCGCTTTCAGGACCATTCTTGTTTGCCTAAATAGTAAAAGAAGACTAAAGGTTTTACCTTTCCTTTTCCTCCTTCCCATGGAAGAAAAAAGGAAAGTAGCTTGTTTGGCCATTTGCTGGCCTCATCTGTTGACTGTTAATCTGCAAGCTTTCTGGCAGTGAGTTTCATCAAAGATAAAAGAAAGGGGAAAGTAGTCTTATAAAGCAACTTATGATTTTCCTTTTGCTTGATAAATTGGTTTCTCTGGCTCTTTTCAAGCCTCAGGTCCATTCTATGGTTTCTTAAAAATGGTTCTCTCTGTTCTTTTTGCAAATTTTATATTTCATTCAAACCGAACAAATCATAGAGTAGTTTTCAATTTTTTGTTAATGAAGTTGCTCCTGTATTCCCTCACTAATTTTGTTTATCGTTTCTTTCTTTTTTTCATTTTTTTTTTCAATTTCTATCTTTTTCTTAGTGAACGTCTCTTTTTCCCTGTTTTGATTTTTAAGGCATAAAATTGAGCAAATTTTTGGGTTTCCATGATCATTTTTGCCATTTTCCCATTCTACCCCTGATTGGACACATAACATTGACTTTTTCAGCTTACTAGTAATCACTTCCTTTTTCTTGTCGGTATGTGATAATTCTACTTGCTTAGCGTACCCTATTTTAAAGGGCATCTCTTTTGAAAATGTATGGCAGACTTACCACAAAATTTAAAAAAACAAAAGTATCCCTCCCTCCCGTTTGCTTCACTTAACGGATTTGAGGGGAAATCCCTTCCTATGTCATTTCCCAAGGAATGGGAAATGAAGATTCCTTTCCCATGTTTGGTAATGCTAGGAAAGTAATCGGGAGATGTCATTTTATTTCCTTTCCCATATTTTCCAATTATACCCATATTAAATCAAATAAAAAAAGAATGCATTGAATGATATATATTGTAATTCTAAATGCACAATACTGTCGAATTCCTTGCAATTGTGGAATGTATGTGTATTTTCAGTACTATATTTGCCCTTGTACTTAGCACAATACTGTTGAATTCCTCCATGCACTATAATCTTCATACTATAAAGATAAATGATATTTCCTTTTGAGATTGTTTAAATTTATGTATGTGTCCATGTGTATGTGTGTTTTGAACTTTTGATTGATATGGCTTATTTACGCTTTCTTTCTTACACTTGTTTTATGTTTTCAGCAGACGTGCTCGATATGCTTAACTAAAATGAAACAAGGAGGCGGCCATGCCCTTTTCACGGCAGAATGTTCACATTCTTTTCATTTCCACTGCATTACATCAAATGTCAAACACGGCAACCAAATTTGCCCAGTTTGTAGGGCAAAATGGAAAGAAATCCCAGTGCAGGGTCCTAATCTGGATCCTCCTCCTGGAAGGGCAGCTATCGGTCCAGTTGGTTGGTCTCAGAATGATGCTTTGGTGACTATGGTTCGTCGACTACCTCCTCCTCGAAGAGATTTGAGCCGACGACACATTGTGCCACTGTATCAGGCCCATGAGCCAGGTGTCTTTAATGATGATGAATCCTTAGATCACCAACCTGTGTTTGATGAGAGAAGCTCTTGCAATAAAAATGGCACTGGTGAAAATTTTTGTAGGACAATAGAGATCAAAACGTTCCCAGAGGTTTCAGCTGTTCCAAAATCCAGTTCTTATGACAATTTTACCGTTTTGGTCCATCTGAAAGCTGCTACTTCAGTTACAAGGCAAAATCCTAGCAGAAACCAGTCTAGTTTGCCACAATTTTCCCAGACTCATCGTGCTCCAGTAGACCTAGTCACGGTGCTTGACATCAGTGGTAGCATGGCAGGAACAAAGCTTGCATTGCTAAAACGGGCTATGGGGTTTGTAATACAGAATCTTGGCTCCAATGACAGGCTCTCAGTCATTGCCTTCTCTTCAACAGCCCGTCGTCTCTTTCCCCTCCGCCGAATGACTGACACTGGACGCCAGCAGGCACTGCAAGCTGTTAACTCTCTGGTTGCAAATGGTGGGACCAACATTGCTGAGGGCCTCAGAAAGGGTGGCAAGGTATTGGAAGATCGAAGGGGAAAGAATCCTGTTGCCAGTATAATATTGTTGTCTGATGGGCAGGACACTTATACTGTCAGTGTCTCTGGCGCTAACCAACCTCAACCAAATTATCAGTTGCTCCTTCCTTTGTCTATTCATGGTGGTGACAATACAGGCTTCCAGATTCCAGTGCACGCATTTGGTTTTGGTGCAGATCACGATGCATCATCAATGCACTCCATTTCAGAGATATCTGGAGGGACCTTTTCTTTCATTGAGACTGAAGCTGTCATCCAGGATGCATTTGCACAGTGCATTGGGGGGCTTTTGAGTGTTGTGGTGCAAGAGCTGCAGGTGGCAGTTGAGTGTGTGAACACAAGTCTCTTCCTTGGTTCACTAAAAGCAGGAAGCTACCCGAGTCGTGTGATGGCTGATGGACGCAGAGGATTTATTGATGTTGGAGATATGTATGCAGATGAAGAGAGGGATTTTCTGGTTTCAGTTAATGTCCCAGCAGAGTCTTCTAGCAATCTGACATCATTGATAAAGGTGAGATGCATTTACAAGGATCCCTTAACTAAAGAAATGGCAACAATAGAAAGTGGAGAAGTTAAAATTGAGAGACCTGAAGTAGCTGGGCAAGCACTAGTGTCAATAGAAGTGGACAGGCAACGTAATAGGCTCCAAGCAGCTGAGGCAATGGCACAAGCACGAGCCGCAGCTGAGCTAGGAGACTTAGCTGGTGCAGTTTCAACCCTTGAAAATTGTCGAAGGGTATTGTCAGAGACTGTGTCAGCAAAATCCAATGACCGCCTTTGTGTAGCATTGGATGCTGAGCTCAAGGAAATGCAAGAGAGGATGGCAAGCAGGCATGTGTACGAGGCATCTGGGAGAGCATATATTCTTTCAGGACTGAGCTCGCACTCATGGCAACGAGCAACAGCAAGAGGTGACTCCACCGACGGTTCAAGTCTTGTTCAGGCCTATCAAACCCCATCAATGGTTGAGATGCTTACTCGATCTCAGGCTATGCTGTTGGGTAGTCCATCAGCCCAGCGGCTTGTCCGACCATTATGTTCACAACCAAAGCCGAGGTAATCATATAGGATTGCTGTGTGCTCATCTTTTTTTTTTCCCCTTTTTTTTCAATTTTCTTTGGGAGAGGGAGATAAAATTAAAGAGATGAGATGTTTTTTTGGCTGTGATTTTGCCTCCTGCCTTCTATATGTAAATCAATAAGAAAAAAAAAAGAGGAACATGATGAAAAAGGTATAATTGGGAAGGAAAGAAGAAAAGGAACAAGTAGAGTAGGGTTTATAACATTATGTATTTCCTGTGTTGTTGGTTGGTGTACATAAAGAAAAATGGTTTTCTCTATGAGAGAATGGGTACAAGTATGTAATTGTCAAAATGGTTCGGGTGAGCCCTTCACCTCATATGTAATTTACGTTCTCTCAATTCATTAGACAAAGTTTTGTTCAAATTATGAGTAGTTTTCATCTGTGTGCGAACGGATTCTTTACATGTACGAGGCATGCATGGAATGCATCTACTCGATTCGACTCTACAATTATTTTCTTCTATGACATTGCCATTTGAGGATGTTGTTTTCTTTTTGTAATAATATCCAACAACTATGACCAAAGGATGTTGATGTTGAGAAACATACCAAAAGACACGAAAATGTGCTTTTATAACTCAAAAAACGTTCTTAACTATTTTATGTCGAGTGCTAAAAAAGCACTAGCGGCCTTCTGAAAAACTCTCAAAAAGGCTCTTGAAGCATCCATGAATGCCAAAAATGTTTGCGATCAATCGAGGTGGGCGCAACGCAAGGTATAAAAACGAAAGTTGTAAAATTTGCCCATTGAAAGAGCATTAGAAACCCAAGCTTAAGAAACGCAGTCTACCTATACAACACAATGCATGACATCGAAATCTTGAAGCACCACACGAGAAATGAAAGCTAAGCCAATGGGTTCAGATTTGCCCATTGAAAGAGCATTAGAAACCCAAGCTTAAGAAACGCAGTCTGCCTATACAACACAATGCATGACATCAAAATCTTGAAGCACCACACAAGAAATGAAAACTAAGCCAATGGGTTCTACCACAGTGGTGGTGACTTCCCCCTTCCCCCATGGCACCCCGTTCGAAGCCCCATATGTGCACATTGGTGCTTGAGCCCCCTCCCCTTAGAGTAGTATTGTTGTATAAAATTAAAAAAAAAACTAAAAACTAAAAATTAACTGTTTGTGGCCCCAAAAAATGGCTCTGTTTTTACGTTTTGGTTGATGTCATGCATGCATTCCCCTGTTTTTTTATTCCACAAACAGCTTCTGAGTTCTCTGCTGCTGTTCTCTTATTCACAACTTGCTGCAGGCCTCTGTTTTCAACCAAATAATTGCACATCGCAGGCTTATAACAAGACAAACATCAAACATGGTGCTAATGTTTTATTAATCAAAACGTAAGTTCCCTTGAACCAGATTAAACCCAACGAAAAAACAGAGTTAGCCAGTCATTTCAAAACCTACAAAAATTACATAATGGCATAAGCTCAAAGGCCACACAACAACACAGAGAAATTGCACAAGACTTAAAGACTCGGCCTTTAGGCTGATTTGCCTTCATTTGGACGCGGGATTTTCTTGTAGTCGTAGTTGTTTATGTCCACCTTCTCTTGCAAAGCCTATAAACAAACAGAAACCAGAGAAACAAGAACTGGGTTAGCAAAAGCACTTTTGTGGCTACTTCTGGCTTATGGCTTATGGGGAAATTTGTACCTTGAGCTCTTCCTCGAGCGATGTCTTTTTTGGGTTGTAGGCGTCCACTGGCCCTGTTCTCGAAAGTGCTTTTCTTGTCTCAATTATCTCCCATTCCTGATCGTCTTTCACCTTCGCAACGTCCTTGCCGCCTTGTATCATATGACCCAGTCCGATTGCACCGACCACGGTGAGCGAGATCATCGGAAGTCCGTATCTGATAAACGGGTGCCTCCTGCCCCACCTCTTGAACGTCGATTTGATTACAGGGTCGCTTCTTCCTGTCTCAACGCTTGTCATCGCCACACCCATCACAATCAACGCCCAAGCTAATTGAATTGGAGTTCTAGGTTTTCTCTCTCAACCCGAATTAAGATGGTGAAAACTGGTCGACCGTGAAAATGGGTATGGCTTGGGGGCTGGCCTGGGCATGGGGTTTTTTTTTTTTTTGGGGTCAAACGATAGGCCCAAATCAATGTCAAGTATAACGGCGTCGTTTTTGCGTGCAGGATATTGCATTAGTTACAAATCTGTATGTTGTAAGAAGATTTCCAAATCTTATTCGTCAGGTGCTGAGGGCATTTACTTATCATACATAAGTGATAATTTAAACAGTTTATTTGGGCAAAAAGAATGAAATAAAAGACAATTTAAACAGTTTAAACTAATTTAATTTATGAGGATGGTAATTCGAACTTGGGTGAAATGGGACAAGTTTGCTGCCATGACTAACTCGCCTAACTCACGTCTGCGACAATGGACGATGAGCCTAATTTATTTTAGTAATTCGCAATTCCAAGAAATAAGAATTTTTATATTTTCTATCAACTGAATTCTGAGGAGGATGCAATGTTTCCTGAAATAGAACGGAATATTAATTCATGGTAATTCTAGTAGTAATAATATGGGATTCACAATGTGCTTGAACTAAAACCATTTGGTGCAATTCCAGAAAATATACACGTCATTTTTTTAGCTGCTGCAATTGCTTCTTTAAGTTTCCAAGCGGTCCAAAACCCTTCTTTGCCTGCTGTTTGCTACAATTACAACTGCCAGTGTTCAAATTTTTACCACAACTGACACACAAACCCTTGCAACTTGGATTACATGTTGCGGTGATGGTAATCTCTAGATGCACCATGTCTCTTATGTGCTTTGAAATATCTATTTCTTTGTCCCCGGGGCGAAAATACAGCTGATCCTCAAAATCAATTGTGCCTTCATCATCTTCCTCCCCTTGGCCACCTATCCCAGTGTCACCATATATCACTCCCATATTGATGATCTCAGGTTCTTCAATTGGTTCATCAGTGAGGAGAAGGGAGAAGTTTGAGAAGATGCACTCGGCTGCGGGATCTTCACACCTTCAACATAAACACAATCTTTAATCAAAGGAAATAGCATACCTTAAAGAAAAGACAGATGGAAATAATATAGTCGATATTTCCATTAACCTGCTTACAAGCAAGAAAACATAGAACCAGTCTTAGTTGTTAGAAGATATAGATTGCCAGGGGAGGTGAATGCGAAAGTAGAAGTTTAACAGGAGCTCTTGCTAGGTCCTGGTATCTTTTAATCTTAACTTTCTCCCCTTTCCTGATTTAACATCTAAAGCTGATAGTCATCTCACCTAGGAAAATGGCAGGTTTTCAACAGTGAAACATTTGCTCACTATTTGCAACGACCCATATGTCTTGACCTGATCTAACGGAAGAGAGGGATTTTTTTATCAAACACAACCTGTGTTTTCAGATGGGCCGCAACTGCTAGTCTCAAAATATAAAATGTACTTATGTCATTTCCATACTATAGCTCAGACCAAGGACAGTTAAACCAAGTAAATATACAGGTATTTGATTAGAACCCTGAACTTCCTATCTCATATAGGGTTATAGATAAAGACTCATACAGAAAAGATCCTATATAAAGTGGAAGCACCAATAAAATATATTAAGAGGAAAAAGATTTATCCATCGATGGCATTCCAGACATCAATCAAATAAGCAACTGAAATACCTGCTGCAAGTCAGTCCGATAACAGTTTTAATGATGCCATCAAGCCTCAACTTTTGCTTCTTCCTTGTTATGTCAATGGAGATCTGAACAGGTGTACCTTGTGGATAATCCTTCACAGCTTTGGTGACTCGTAATCCCATCACTGAAGCCTTAGATTTCGACACCTCTGTTGAAAGGTGCCCCAATCCAAGCCTCTCTAACGTTGTGCAATACTCAACATGTGATATGGAAGCGTTTCTCTTGTAAATAACTGCCCCTTCCCAGGGCGACCCTGTTTCGTCTTCATCACCCAAATCAAGAAAAACTGCGTCTTCTCCAGTGAAGGACTGATAATTTGGTTTTGTGCAATTCGTTACAGTAGACCTTAAAATACCATTTGGTTTTCTAGTCAAAGTTGTATGGATATTTTCAGCAAGGCAAAATGGATTTTTGCATCGAACAAAAGGAAAACATGGAGTTGTCAAAGTATTTTCGCAAGTTCTTAATTTAGAAACCCTATGGCTGCTAAAATAAGAGGAGGTGATTATGGAGGATGAGGTGACTACAAATGACATTATAGTTTTAGAATTTGTCCAAACTTCTACTAACTACAAAAGGGTACGGGGCATAGTGTGAAATGCTTGATATCAGAAACTCTCAGGAGCCACTTACACTGATTAATTAAGTAAATTTGAGAGGAAACGCTGCCAGTGGGCAACCATGTCTGCGGGAAAGTTAGAGATAGTTCAGACCAAAAGGAAAATGAGCTATATGGGAATGCAGGAGGCCACACAACATTAAGTTCACTTATGTTAAAAGAAGTCTGGCCGAAAATTTCAGCTAGGCATTTCATCAAACGACTTATGAGCGAAAAAGCTCAAATCTTTTTATCTTCTTCCACAGAGAAATTGAGACAGACAAATTTTGACGTACGGAAAATAAACAAATACAAGCACAAAATGCATACAAACACAAATTACATTAAAAGGCTTGAAGAAGACGAACGAGGCAGTATATAACGAGAGAGGAGCTAAGGGTGCTTACAGTGACGATGAACGCTTTATCTTAGGTGAGAAACAGAGCTACAGAAGGAATTGTTAGCTTCGCTTCTTTGCAAAGATTTTATCTGGTTAGATTCAGCAAATGGGCCCAGCCCCGCAACTCAGCCCGCCTAATTTACTTTTCGGGCCAACTGCCCGCCTTATTATTTTCTTTTCGGTTTGGGTTGAAATTGAAACATTTTGAATCAGTTGGATTTAGACCTCAAACTGGTTTCATTTGATTGCTTTCTATTATAAGCAATTTATCAAAGAACACTATGACATATATCAAAATGAACTTTATACTATAAATTAAACAATATTTTAGAGAAATTTATATGAAAGCATACATAAGTAGAAACGATGAATTAGAGATTTTAATGTTGCCGATCAAAATGAACTTATTATTATAAATTAAACAATATTTTAGAGAAATTTATATCATAGCATACATAAGTAGAAACGATGCATTAGAGATTTTAATTTTTCCCGATTATGAGACATGCCAATAAAGGTCACAACCAAGACAAAAATGTCATATACCATAATAGTTAAGAACATATAAATAAATGATCTGATTCGGTTTGATTTGACTTGGTTTAGAGGGCCGGCTCAATCACATGGTACACTTTCTCGTACCATTTTTCACGTGTAGAATTCACTACAAGCCCCTTTTTAATACTTTTGGGAATGGACACAAGTTTGTATCAAACGGCAAGTCCTTTTCTTTCTTCTTGATATCGACATACTACATTCAAATATAAAATAAAACTAGCAAAATCAAAAGAACAAGTACAGTTTTATTTATTTATTTATTCATTTTTGGTCTGTAGAATTCCATTACATTTCTTTGCATCATTAGATTCACAATACACAAAGTTCACGATCAAAATAAACCTCCTCCTCTGCCTTTCCTCCTCACTCATCATCAATCTCAATTATTTCACGATATGCAACCTCCAAATCATTGTCACTCAAAACGTGCGTTTTGGAACCCTTACACCTAAACTTAGGGATATGAGAAGCCAGCTTCAAAATCTCCTCATCACGCTCGTCAAAACCCTCGCACTCCCTCACATCCAGAAGCACAAGCTCTCTGCACTCCTTCAGCAACATCACGAGATCGTTCTTCTCCAGGCGCGACTTCCTGAAGCACATGTACTTCAAATTGGGCACAAATTTCACGATCGCAGAGGCCTCGCTCGTGCCAATCGCGGCGAAGGCCACGTGCAGCCCAACGAAGCCCTTACAGTTCTTGCTGATGTGTTCCAGTATTTTTTCAATGGCGTTCACGTAGTGGCTGCAAATCCCGGGGATTTTCAGAAACTTGGCGTTGCCGCCGCTGCGATTGATGACCATTTTGATGAAGCTAGGGATTGAGAAACGGCTCCAGTGGATTTGAAACTCGCGCGCGAATCTCCTCACGAAGTAATCGAAGGACTGGCTTTCGATGCGGTTGGCGTAGGTCCATGGAAGATTGGCGGCATTGTCGTCGAGGCTCCATGGATCGTCTGTAGCTTCTTCTTCGCTGTCTGGGAAGACGAGGCGTTCCCAGCACACGGGGTTCTGGCTCGCTCTGTACCAGGACTTGCAGACGAAGGGGACGAACAAGAGCAGAGACTCAATTCCGACTTTGACGAAGACGTTGGCCAAACAGTCTGGGTCTAGGTCCTCCCATTTTCGATCTCTCTGGCGCTTGGAATTGAGATTGAGGAGCTTGTCCATGGTGGATTTTGGGTCTTTTTCTGATTCAGACGGATTTGATTTGGCAATTGCTTCTGGAGGATTCGATTGAAGAGGAAATCGATGCCTCTGTGTCTCTGTTTAGGGTTCTTTTACTCGAAAGAGTAAAGTTTATAGTTGGCGGCAGCTGGGTCCAAAAAATTATAAATACTCGTTCTTTTTAGTAAAATTGCCCATTTAGTCCAGTGATTTTTATTTTTATTTAATAAAAAAAATGTATTTTTTCTATAAGGGGATATGGAATATTCGAACTCATCTTCTAATTTTGGAAAGTAGCCAAAATTTATATATACATAAAACAAAAGGAAGAGAATGGTAAAACATAAAAATGTCGTTGGCTAATGTAAACATTAAGAATTGAAATTATTAATTAAATGATGATAATATGGTAAATTCACATTTACATATTTAAAAAAATTAAAATTAAAAGAAAATTCAGATAATGAATTCTATTTTTATGAAATACAACTGCTTATTATATTTTTTAATTCTAAAATATTTTTTTTTTTAAGTCTTTCACATGCTCGGAAGTGTGTGCGGAGAGGTTAGTTTTCATGAAATAATTATATGCCCAAAAAACAAAAAAAAACAAAAACTAAGTGTGTGATTTACTTAGGACGATAATCTATTCCAAATCCAAGCATACCATCTTGCTTAGGACGATAAGGGAAAGAATTTAGAATGCAATGGACCGCTACACAGTGGCCCACGCGCCGCCACCTGCCCCCGACAGGGCGTGGGTGTCTTGAGAAATTTCGACGACGGAAATTTCTTGAAACACCCCACAATACCTATACCAACAGTTCAAGCACAAATAGGAGAACACTTTTTGTTCTTGGACCACCGCCAAAAACTAACAGGAACTATCCAAATCGAAGTCGAAACCATCGACTAAAAATGGGTATATTGAACGATATGAATACCTCACAATCGATCTACAATACTTACATAAACGGATAAAGCACAAAGAGTATATGAAGTTTCACACCTCACTCAACGAAAATGGCGGCCAGAGTTGTCGGAATCTTCGAAAATCACCAAAACTTCTAGTCATTCCAGTTTAATTTCCTTGGGTTTTTTGAGCTGGAAAAATGGGTGGGTTAGATAGAAGACATCGATGCGAAAGTTTTGCAAATGAGCAACGAAGATTAATGGGCGTTATGGTAGAAAGAATTACGTGTGGTTTGATCCTTCAGTAAAGGTATGTAGGCAACCTAGGCTAACTTAGTGCAGCTGCAAGTTTATAATTTGGTTGTTATATTCAGTTTTGTCAAGTTGAAATTGTTGACCTTCTTATGTTGGTAAAGGGGGCATGTAGCCCATTGAAACTTTTGCTAATTGGTGTGTGGTTTATACATTGTGCTGCTGAACGCTTGGGAAATAATTGAGTTTGATATGCATGTAGATTTCTGGGTTTTGAGCCTTTTTCAGGGGAGATTCTGCCGGTTTTCCGGTAGAAGTCAAAACCTAAGCAGTTTTTAGGATTAGGGCAAGAAGGGTATTTTGGTCATTCATGCTCGACACCTGCCAGGTGTTGGACACACACGGAGTTCGACACAGATTCCAAAGTAGAATTTGGGTCTGATCCTTTCATGTCATGTAATTTGTGTGTATTTTTTTTCTCATTTGTATCACTATTGTTTTAAAATTTTCAATTAAATTCTTGTGATTAGACTTAAGCGTTCTCATATGCTTTTCTGCTTAATTGGTAGTGATATAATGTTTTTTCCTTCTTTCTATCAAGTTTATGTGCTTGGCTAATTTCCCAATCAAGTTAATGTGTAAGAGAAAATATGCTATGTGACCAATTATTTACAATCACATGTCTATCTCTTTTTGGTTATATTGGGATTGAAGAAATTTTGGAATTTTGATCCCAAGTGCCAAGCAGCCGCAACCACTATATTGGCTTGAACGTCCTTATGCTATGGTCCAAATTAGCGTATGAGTTGTCATGTGAGAAGAAAGATAAACATATAATTATATACAATTGGCATCACTTAAGAATCTCTGTGTGTCGGCTTGAACATCCTCTAGTGATATTGTGCCTAATTATGGTATGCTTTTAATTTTACGAGGACCTATTTGAAAAAACTTGCAGATTGCATGACCAAACTGGTCATTTTCTATATTCCTTTTTTAGATTAATAAATAATAATTATACAAATTTACAATTGTGTGATGAATTTTCATTACTTGAACCGTTCATGGAAGCAAGTTAAAGGTGAATTCATCAAAACAAAACAAAAAAAGTAGAAGCAAAGTTGAAGTGTTGATTTCTTAAATCAATACATTCACAAATTGTTTTCAATTGGGTCTTCGTGTTTGAGAATGTTTGATAATACAACCAAGGATCCAGTGATTTTCCCTTCAATTCTGCATTTGATTATTCCCAATATTCTTTGAACATAGAATAGAATTGAGGAAGATAAAGAGAAAGTTTCATGGAATACAATATCTGACGTCTAAAACATAATTACAAGCCACAGCCTAGATCATTAACAACACTAACTAGACTGGAAAAAAAAAATTGTTTCATTTTCATTTTAGTATTTTGAAAATTCAATCTCTTAATTCATTATTTTCAAAATCTTGTTTTCCTTTCATAAGTGGTGGTGCTATAGATGTAGGTGCTTCTTTGGAATCACTGCGGGGCTTGGATGCTTTTTTGGCATCAGATTTTGACTTGAGTCTCAAACCAAACCTTTTCAAGAATGTGTTCCAGCTCCCCTTTGTCTTCACCAGTTTCTCCATCTCTTGTTTCATGCTCAAACACTCCTTCTCTAGCTCGGAAACTCGTTCCCTCATGTCATCAACGGTTACAGTATGATCACGCCGCACGGTGCCAGCGTGAGCAGATGCCTCGTTTCGACCAAGCACAAGATTCCCACTCTGGTTTTGTGAGTTCTCAAGGTTGTCAGATACAAAGAACCAACTGGCAACTGATGTGCGCAGCCGAAGTTGTTCAAAGAACAGAACTTGGACAATGACACGGAGCGGTAGCCTCTCATTCTGGGCTGCATGTGTGCTGGCTTCCAGTGAGAGCTTCTGGCAGTTCATAAGCCTGCAGACTTGTTCCCTCTCGGAGTCTGTTAGCCAGGGATGGGCCTGAACTTGAGAAACAAGTAAGTTAGCTTAAGAAGTAATGGAAATATTAACATATTCTAATGGCTGCAACAATTTCCCAAAAGCATTGCAGATTTGCTTTCTTATGCTGTGTGCAGGCCTCAATGCCTTGTTTTGATTTAGAAATTTACAAAAAATTTAAACAGTCCCAAAGCACCAAAAACTATCAAGATAAGAGAGTAGAAGATGTTATAACAAGCATTGGAAATGCTTCGGAAGTTGTAGCGCAAGTCCTTCAACCAGATTTTCATAACCATGATCATAAATAAGAGTAAAGATCTATGTACCTTGAGGTATATATCGACAGCACGGTAAATTCCATCGTCTAATGGTCTGGCATATTCAGGGATAACAGCACCTAGAGACTGAAATTTTTGCAACTTCAAGTTAACATCAGGTGCCACCTCTGCAAGATAGCCATCCACCAGGTTAGCTACCATGGTCATTGGGGTCAGTGAATGAGATGCACCCATCAACTGGCCCTCATCCACTATGCAGCTCGAAGTACACTCAATCGAATCGCGGTCCATAAGCATGAAGTGATCAAGAATCCGCTGAACGCAGTCAGTATCATAGAGGGTCTCCACTGAGTACCCCATGTTTGGTATCAAGAGATCTTCAAGAGCTGCTTGATCCAATTGGGCCCCAACCTGTCTCTCCAAATTCTCTCGACACGATGTGCTAGCTTGCAAAATCATAGATGTCCGCAGAAGCCTAAGCAGGAAGTTGGTTGGTGTGACACCCTTCTGATCAGGAAGTAATTCCACGATCTCTTCAAGGAGATTACTTTGGTCTGGATTAGATGGAGCAGGAACAGTTGATAAAGAGGCAGCATGGTTTCCATTTCGAAAACTCGATTGCCTACCCAACAAGGAAAGATGCCTCTTTGCATAGTGCATGATGGAGCCGGCAATCCTCTCTGGCTTCATGCTCCCTGATTCAACACCCAGAATCAGTCTTTTATAAAGAGGAAACTTTAGGGAGCAGACATCTTCATACCACCAATCCTCACTAACTGGATGTGGCTTGGCTGTTGTGCATATTCCATTCCAAAACGCCACGCCTTCTGAGCTCTCCGTTGCATCCTTTCCCGACACAGGCCAACTGAATAAACCTGGATCAGCACTAGCTTTCATTGCCAATGAATTGATGCATCTTGAAACAAGATGAAGCTCTTCGGCATGAGGCAATACCTCTTCGCAGGTTTCAAGTACTTTAATGGAATCACCCCAATTGCTAAAGATTTCGTTTAGAAAATCCTCTGCTTTTGTTATGAGATTTCCCTCTCCATAGTCTTCACCCATACGAAGATACTCAGCCGCACACCTCAAACTAACTACATTTGAAGCATTGAGTTCTATTCTCACACCATAACAAAATTTGGCTACCAGCAAGAATGATTTGGCTCCACCAGGAATGTCATGCAGTTGCACAATACATT